AGGAGTATAGACTGGAACTTAATATTGCAGTTGACAGCGTCAAAATTCCGACTGTCAATAACATTAAAATTTTAGGTGTCACCTTCGACAGTCTCGGACAACATGACCTAGCCAGTGTAGCCGCTGTCTTTTAATTCGCTGAACTATGTCAATGTCGTCGTATATCTCGTACAGCTCATCGTTCCATCGAATGCGACAGCTATTATCGCCAAAGTACAGAGCCGCAACATAATCCGCAAGTCGCTAGCCGGCAGCACATGGGGAAAAGACGAAGAAACGTTGTTGGCAACTTACAAGGCAATCGGCAAGGACCCATATGGTCGCCTGGATGCAGTGAATCGCAGATGAGGAAACTACAGACCTGCCAGAATACAGCACTCCGGACCACGACGGGATGCCTCCTGATGTCTCCTATCGAGCACCTACATAGCGAGACGCTTATGCTCCCAGTTAAGGAGCATAATGAACTCCTCTCCAAGCAGTTCCTGCTGAGATGTTTTCGCAGAAATCATCCTTGCAGTCATCCCAGCAGGAATTGCTTGGAACGGAGCCGCCTCCGAGGAGCATCAAGAGGTCATTCTTTGATCACGTCGACGACATCGAACAATACGCCGACAGGACCTCGGACGCTACAGACTTCCGACAGACACTGACCGCCATTCACAGTGGAGCCATCAACACCTTCACCGACTCCCTCCCCGTGAATGGAGTACTTGAAACACCATAGTGTAAATATATATATTCTTAACCTAGAGCACCTCCTCTATCTCTAGAAAATAGGACTTGAATAGCGTAATCCGATCCAACTTATAAAACGCAAAGCATATTGTTCAAGATTGTGATATTGTATTGGGTAGTAACCCCATCTAAGTTTTAATACGCTACGCCTATGGGACAAATATCGCCTGATTGTAGCGTTTTCCTTTCCTTCTTTTCTTATTTGCATTCAGCTATTGTCATATAGACATTAGTTTACATAAATATTTACATATTAAGTATAAGCGCGTCTATTCGCAACCCATTTTTGTGCAGTTATTGACATAGAAATTTTTATACATGTACAGGCAGGCATATAATTGCCGCTCCTTGCGGATTTAAGTAAGTGCTAAAAATAAAGTCGTGTCAACAGGTCATATCAAACGCAGTTCCGTTTGTTTTATTTCAATCTCTTACACATATATTTCAAAAACCATCCGTTGGAATAATTATGGATTTCTTGTCAATTAGCTATATAATTTAATTGTACTAAAAGATTTTAAAAATATTTTCCATGAACGTATCAAACACTAGATTCACTACTTTATGAAGCACTATCTTAAATAGAACTTTTCATAAAACTTCAATTAAACATCAAATCAAAGTTGATTTCTTATGTTAGTAACACAATTTTCTGTTATTTAGAATGGAAGTATCAGGAAAGTCGTGAAAACTACTGTATGGATGAGCTACATAAAAAATAGTCTTATAGAAATGGCCGCTTTCCAGTTTGTCTCGTTTAATCTGCAAATGGCACAAGATTACTTTTCCAATTTAAATCCATTAGCTCGGCGTATCGCGTCTGATATAAACATAACAAAAGCCTCATATGGCATGCTTTGGTATACTTTGAAAGAAAATCAACAAAACGAGATCATTAACCAAACTCTGATAAATCCTGAAATTTCGCTGAAGTATTTGGAGAATATGTCCCTATCCGCTTCATCGTTATCATCAAGTTCATCTTCGTCAAGCTCATTTTCGGCCAGTTTAAGTACTACAAGTACTGAACATATTTTGCCATCATCTTCAAAGAACAGAGGACAAAATAATTCTCCCAGTGTCAATAATAGTAAAACATCGCATTCGTTAACTGAAAATATTTTACAGACTCAAAATTTATTGTCAAAAAACTTATTAGCACGCGCTGAGCACACTGTACAATCGCATCAAATTGGTAAATTAAAGCCTCCTTCGTCTCCACCGCCACCTCCACCCACTACATCCAAAAAATTGAAAAGAACTGAAAATATTGAAAAACAGAAAAATGATTTGAGATCGCTTCAAACGTTACGTAATAATCCGGCAAATGGTAGAAACGAGAAAACAGATTGTATTTATGATGGAATCAACTTACATACATATATCGCACAGAAAGTGGCACTAAAAATTATATATGATGATGTATTAAGGGCATATCCCGATGAACATTCGCAACCTTTCAGTTATCGCACAAAATCACAAATAGATCTACAACAGCAGTATTATGAAGCTAATTTGAATGATATAAATCTGAACCCCAACTTCGATTATAAATGCCTTACTTCAAACGAGTCGTGCAATATAAATTTGGTTAAAAATGTAGGTCTAACTAAACAGTATGATCGCTTACAAAAGGAGTTAAAGAGTACATTGAGCAACCATTTGAAGCCATCTAGAGAAAATAAACGCCATATTCCATCTGCTAAAGCAAATCAAGTGCTTTCTTCGCCAAATTTAAATAAGTTTAAAAATGAATCGAGAAGATGTTTGAAGGAAAATGTTGTAAAGCATACATCCGAAGTGTCATTCTTACTCGACTTCAAACAATCAAATTTTAATTATGCCGTATACACAGATGTCTACATTGAAAAAGATGAATCAGCTACACTAATGTACAATTGCAGCAACAGCGGAATACTGACGGGATCCTCGAACACGTTAACAGCTACATCCGACGACGAACAAAGTAATCACGAATATAATGATGAGAATGATGATGAAAAAACTTTGTGCCGGCTTTTAGAGAACGATCTAAATTTACGTAGGGGATTCGATTTTCTGAATAATTGGTAAAGAGATTTTATACTTTTGATATAAATAAGATAATCATTACAATTATTAAGTGGAGATGATACCATATACAAATTATAAAAAACAGTGATTACAGAAAAAAGTTCCCGTTTTCGTTTCTACTTAAACAGATTTCTAGAAGTTGCACTTTTTTTTTAGAAATAATTGGTATATTTATGTGCACAAGTTCAATATGCAATTACGCCTAAATAAACAGTTACATTTTTATTTTAATTCAGTGAAAGGAAAAATGATTTGATAATTATTTCCATGTTGTTGTTCTTCTAACGGTAATTTAATCCCCGTTAGGATGGAAAGATTTATCTAGGTTGTTGTCGACGTCATATAACGGGAGGTCCAAGAACCATCTTGTTTCGACGGGGTCGGACCAAAGGAAAAAGGGTGTCAGTTGAGTGTGGTTGGAGGGGCATGCAAAGAGGTGGCCAGTGTCATGCGAAGACTCATTGCATGCAGGATATGTGTTGGATATGTCTGAGTCTATTCTGGAAGAGTAGGAGTTTAACCTGCTGCAATATCCAGAACGAAATAATTACTTGCATTAACATTAGTGATAAATGTTTGTCATTAGTAATAAAAAATTAGACAAACATATATATTTACGTTCTACTCAATATACACTATAAGCTTTCATCACCATTAAATATTGGATGAATGTATATTCATTTGCTAGATATGGTGTATGATACTAATTGTGATGTACATATAATATAATGTTCTGTAATGCAACCGAAATATTTCTTACATTGCATCAATTTTGAAAGGTAATAAACCGGCAGTTGAAGAACAGTGACAAAGATATTCGCGCATCACAAATAAAGTTGATTTTTGACATTTTCATATGCAACTCTTGCGTAGTCCGATGGAGGTCGTGAGACCCTCCTAGAAACAGCTTGGCATGGCGCATTCCTCCTGCCAGTGCTGTTCCCTCTTCACCGTGCAGAGCTGCTGCTTAAGACTGTGGGACCCCACTGCGATGCCTGGTTCCCGTTGTTGTTGTAGTTGTTCTAACCATTTATCAATCCCCGTTGGGATGGTAAAGGTTAACCATGTTGTCGTCAACACCATCTAGCGGGAGGCCCGGGAAACATGCTGTTTCTACAGGGTCGGACAAAGTGGAAAAGGGTGTTAGATGAGTAGGGTTGGCAGGGCATGTAAAAAGGTGGCATGCAGCCCCTACCCCATGATCACTCACAGACACCCGCAACAAACCCACGTTTTTCAATTTAACTGCCTGGTTGGCGACATCTTGGGACGCTGCCGCAGAGCGGGCTAGTTCCTCGACTATCTCATTTCCGGCTACCCCTTTATCCCCCGCAACCAGATTAGGTGTACCCGGTTGCACACCGATATGCGGTTCAATCTCCCTATGGCCTCTACTAAAAGCGATTTATCTCATATGCTGTGATCGGTTTTAGCGCCACTTGACTGTCTGTTTAATTCTACGCTCTGACTAATAGCAAAAACTTCTGCTTGAAATATGCTTGGAAAACGTCCTATTGGTATGGGTAGCTTGGTATGAGATCCCGCAATACCTTCCGGTGTTTTTGAGCCGTCAGTGTACCTCTGGGTAGTACTGTCTCACCATAGTATAAAGCGTGGAGTCATTCCACTCTGTTTTACTGCCGAGAGAAAGTCTTAAAAGTCTTTGTGACGTTAATCCTCTTTGTAACGCCGTCCCTTGGAAGTAGGGCTAGTGATGTGTTTTTCCCTAGGGCCTTCATCTGTTGAGACGACATTCACTTCCCTTTAATAGATTAAACTGCAGTCTTGCTTCCTCAGGGGTTGAGGAGACACTGTCACAAAACTTCCTAAACCTTTGACTTCGCGCACCTAATCTCCTTGTTGAAGGTTGTTAGGTATTGCCTGTATTCCTCCAAGTTGCCCGTGCGTTTGGCTTTATTAAAAAGCCTGCGCACTGATTGCCTAAGTACCGAGAGTTTATTAGCCCAGGTAAGGTACCTTGTGGCCACCTTCAGTTTACAAGCGCTGTGATAGGCGTCCATTATAAACTGGTTTGTCGAGGTCAGTCTTCAGTCCGGCTACGGTGGACATTCTATCTGCCTGTCTTCCCTGACTTCCACCTTCAGAGCAAATTGAATATCCTGTGATCGGACATCTAGCGATACCCGACACTGCGAGATTAAACCGTTCTTGTAATCGTTGCTTAAAGTTATAGCAGGGACCTCCCTTCGAGCACTGCTTATGAATGTGGGTTCGCAGCCCACATTCTTGATGCTTACATTGTTACTGACTATAAATTCAAATAGAGACTATTCCCAGTTGCAGTCCGTGCAATTCCACTCTGTGTGATGTGCGTTGCCATTGCATCCCAGTGTAAGGGGGAGCTTGTTCCTGCTGCAGTAATCGATCAGACTGAGAATCGACGGGACGGGTGCTGTGGCCGTTTCCCCTTTAAAGTAGGCTGATGCAAGACCTGCGTTAGAAACTCTGAAATACAGACGAAGTCTACATCGATTCTAACCCCTTTACAAGAAGTGTCTCGCTAGACAGATCCCAATTTTCCTTGTTGTTTCTCGAATTGAGACCTCTTACTGCTACTCTATAAACCCATGGTTCCTAGAACAAATGCCCAGGTTATCCGAGGAGTTGAACCTGGGTTGAACCAGGTTCACCTAGGCAACTTCTATGCCGGTGCTACAGTTCACAGGATTGGTTCGATGAGAGACAGGTTCTCATCTCCGATCTGCTCAGCTTAGTTGTTTTCGGAGGGAGTCGGTTCCTGGTCCACCTGCATTGCTGAGTCATGGCTTTCCCTAGGCGCTGCTGTGGGCTTCCAAGACCGCATTACCACGTTGCTGAACCGGAACCCCTTCTGCCAGATGAACTTATGGATTTATCGTCAACCATAATGTTGAGCTTCCATTGTGCTTAAATGGCCTGTTCAAGCAGCAAAATCAATTTCCGACAGGATAACGACCCAAATCACACATCGTATCTTTTACGTGAAGGGTTATTATGGAATTGGAAAAAAGCTCTACATATATGCCCCGCGATCACCAGACATTAATCCTTTTCAACATATCTGGAACTTATTGGAAAACTGTATTCGAAAATATCGAATATTTTGATTTATATAAACAATCATTAGTATAGGTAAACTTTTTTTTTATATAAATTAGGCGCATTTTAAGCTTAAGCATTAATATTTTTATATGTGAAAAAAAACTATTTTGATATGGAATACATATGTATATAATGTTAAATATACATCTTTTGAAGTTGATAGAAAAATAACGCAAAATTTATACATTTTAAAATAAATAAACGTGTCGTAATTTAATAGAACTAGTTCTATGTAAACTTTATTGATTCACTACATATTTACTATGGCTTGTTAGCTAAGAGCGGCAAGGTAAGCGGTGACAATTAGCGATCGTTGTATATTTTTTACGCACAGTTCAGACTTTCTACCAAGAACTCAAGGTTACGACGCTTTGTCGTCGTGTCGGTTCTTCGACATATTAACTTTTTTACACGAAAGCAAAAAACGTGAGCTTCGCTTTTGGTTGTCCGTGTCAACGGAGATTTCGCATGATGCTTGAGCACATATTTACATATATACACACATGGTTAAAATAATAAGTACATACGCCCGTGTAGCATTCAATGACTAATAAATTCTCTTTTATTCATGTTTAAAGAGAAATAATATCTTTCATTTCATATATGACTTAAAAACAAAAGTAAAAATATTTGTAATAATAATTGAAATAGAAACTTAAATTTCTAGCAAATAATAAGACTAAAAAATGGCTGGACAAAATAATAAGTACATAATGTTTCTGTGAATGAAAAAATTTATTAGTTTGAGTTTTCTGTCTCCTATTTGATTTTTATTTACTTCTTTCATCAGTATCTAGTATATCTGCTATTATTTTAAATTCCTTTTGAAATTCGTTTTGGCATACTGGAGATAAGTTTGCGGCACGTATCAATTAGAATCTCATACCAGGTTTTTTCAACAAAATACTCTACCTGATCCTTATTTTGGATCAATTGCTTTACCTCCCCCCAAAGGTTTTCARTTGGATTCAAGTCGGGAGATTGACACGGCCATTTAAGAGAGCTCACACCATTATCCTGGAACTAATCTTTTACCAACATCGAAGTAGGATAAGGATCATTATTCTGCTGAAATTTCCATATTAGTGGTATACTTTCCTCAGCATATGGCAGCATCTTGTTTTCCAAGATATCTTTATATTGGAACTTATTCCTTGTGTCTGAAATATCTGAATGGTCGTACACCATCCCAAGAAAAGCAGCCCCAGACCAAAATCTTGCCGCCATCGTATTTATCAGTATTTTTTGTAGACTGTGAATGCAATTCTTTGCCTTTTTATTTATATACATAAATATATGATTTATCAAACGTATATATTATGTATATGTAGATAGCAATAAATATCTTACTGTGAATATATTTGCAAAGCTTTTATGAAATTCATCATAAAATAGGTGAAATTTAAAATATATAATTATGTATGTGCTTTCATGACAAATATATACCGATCTATAAATTATATGCAGAGTCGTGCGAATCTGTAAACATACATTCCTTAAAATTGGAATTATTATTATTGTTCTCATTAGAGACTGCAAGACTCTAGTGAAACTTCCTCGGACGAGGAAACCTTCGGAATCGGGAGAACTTCCCCTATCCGACCATATCTATTTTATTCCCAAAATCCTGGATCGGCATTCAAAAGTCSACCTGGATTGATATCGAGTACCAGTCAGGAATTGTGTTAGAATTCAAACCTCTATAAACGCCACATGGTCTCCAAGATCCGTCAGCTTTGTGAACTAGACGGAAAGGATTTGCCCAGCTGCTATTCGAAGAACGGAAAATACCAAGCTTGATCAGGAGTTAAAATTCTGCACGTGCACGTGCGAGTTTCTTCAGTCATAAGCATTGTGGTCGTGCGCATACTGGTGGGCTAGTAGTTGAAATATGACGAAGTACTGACGTGTTCGTGCGTATGCCAGGTAGTGATGGACATGTGATCTCAGAGAACTCCTTTAAAATATCCGAAAAATATCTTCTTAACTGGCCTATAAACTTTACCGAGCAAGGTTATAGCCAAGTTAACTAATCGTTTTTTCTTTCCGCAAGGTGGCGGCAATTGGAAATTCCAAGCGAAGCCAGGTTCCACTCCACCTAGTCTTTCCCACAGAGTGGACGTCTTTCTCTTTCGTGTCGAATATTTTCAGAGCTGGAGTGTTTTCGTCCATTCGGACTACATGACCTAGTCAGTCACACTCTTAATTCACTTCACTATGTCAATGTCGTTGTATATCTCGTACAGCTCATCGTTCCATCGAATGCGATATTCGCCGTGGCCAATGTGGAATGACCATAAATCTTCCACAGATTTGCGTTGGATTTCGAGGCTGACGTCGTTTTTGATTTTGATGCTGGTTCCAAGACAGACGAAATTATCTACAAATTCAAAGTTATAACTGTAAACAGTGACGTGGGTGCCTAGCCGCGAGCGCGACGACTGTTTGTTTGATGACAGGAGATATTTCGTCTTGACCTCGTTCACAACTAGACCCAGTTGCTTCGCTGCCTTATCCATTCTGGAAGCGGAACTAACGGCGCAAGTGTTGCTGCCAATGATATAAATATCATCGGCTACGCCAGGAGCTGTACACTCTTATAGAAGATGGTACCATCTCTGTTAAGTTCTGCTGCTCGAGTTAATTTCTCCAGCAATTGATTGAAGAAGTCGAAAGACGGAAGTCGCCTTGTCTGAAACCTTGTTAAGTATTGAAAGACTCGAAGAGATCCTTCCCGATTATAACGGAGCTTTTGGTGTTGCTCAACATCAGCTTTCTCAGGCGTATTAGTTTAACGGGGATACCAAACTCAGACAATGCGAAATAAAGACAGCTTCTTTTCGTACAGTCGAAAGCAGCTTTCAAATCGACAAAGAGGTGGTGTGTGTCTTATAGGCGACGTTGAGGAGGCTTATCCCACGACAGTTGGCACAGATTGTGGGGTCTCCCTTTTTGTGGATTGGACAGAGCACACTTAAATTCTAATCKCTAAGCATGCTTTCCTCCGAACATATTCTACAAATAAGCTGTGTATGCTCCTTATCAGTTCTTCGCCGCTGTGTTGTTGTTCTTCAGGTGGGTAATTGCT